CACTGGAATAGCAGGGCATGGTGTAGAGTAGAGGTACCTCATGCTCAATTTGAGGAGCTAAACTTTTATTTTAGCAATAAATGGTGTATATTCTTCTATATTTCTTAATTTCATCAAATTACAACTGAAAAATTAAAGTCATGATTTGTGCCTTGTAGAAGTCTATGCTCCATTCTATGGCCACCAGCAAAGTATAATATCAAGACAAAAGGAAGCAACAGCTGCATTAAAAGACATTGCACAAGCTGATATAGCTGAAAGAGATAAGCATCCCCCTTGGAAAGTTAGGATGGTGTTCAGGGATTTCCCCCATCAAGATTTTTGGATCCAGCAAAAATAGATTAGAGGATTATCAGAGGACCGAAGTGGTGAAGCCATTGTAGATGCCATTGTTATTTCTGTAAAGGCTTGAGAAGGTTAATCTTAGTGTGAGAAGTGGTGGATATATATAGCTCTGAAAAACAAGGCAGAAATGAAAGTTCAAGGAAGAAAAATGTGATTAAACAGACAACAGGTTTGATAATAATGTCCTAGATGATGAGGTGAAGACATTCATATGGTTGAATGCTAAGCTCTTTGGTGTGGATCCTGCAACAATGTAGAGTCAGAATGAAATGCCTAGATTTCAAGATATTTGACTCAAACATGACATACACTATCTCAGGTACATACTATTTCCTTTACCAATAAGGTAGTACAATTAATCTCTGTGTATTTATATTTTGAACTTTACAAACACTTGAACTGTAAAAGTCATTGCTTTGTATAAATTTTAAAAAATGATTTCTTGACACAACAGTACAGTGTTTAGTCTCTTCCTCTAGTTCTAGGTCTATTTATTTATATGCAATTTACCACCTTACTTCTTTGGTCATGCACAAGTGACCCACCATGGCAACTAATTTGTTAACTTAAGCAGCATTAGTGAAAATTTAAATTATTATAATCCATGGGGAATCCATTCTTGGACCAAAGAGTATGACTGCCCTGACCTATGTCAATTTTATACAACTGCATTTTTAAATATTCTAAGAATTGGAAGTCCTAGAATAATTTAGGTATTGACTTTAAAGAACATTTTAACAAATATCAATACTATACTATTGATTCTATTTCCAATAATGGTAGACTAGACAACTCAGTTCAACCCTGATGCTTAGAGCAACTAGAAAACAATCTGATTGGGACTGTAGGAGAGGAAAGGTTTCCCCTCTGCTCTCTGAGGATTCAATAACAGAATCTATGAAATAAACTGACAGCAGGAAGATTAACAAGAAAAAATGTATACACATTTATTATGTGCACAGGGGCATCACATGAAGGAAAAGTGAATACCCAAAAACCAAGTGAGATCTAGAAGCTTATATACCCTCTTCTTAGTGGAGAGGACAGAGAGTATGTAGGCAATTTAGGGGAGAGTAAATAATCTAGGAGAAAGATGAATGGGCCCTCCAAAGAATAGATGGTAGCCTGTGATAATGTCTGTCTGGGCATGGAGTCGACCTCTGGTCTCCTCTCTTGTTATACAGTTAATCTTTCCTGATTGGATGAGATTCATGACAAATGAGTTCCTTTTGGAGGATCTGTCTTTAGTTAGATAAGGGGAGTTCAGAGAAAGCCCCTGCCTACATTTTTTTGCTCCTCAAGTACTCTCAGTGTGACATCCAAAATGGCATATTTTGAGGTGGCACTTCCCTACCTCCTTCAACTCTTAAAAAAGTGTCAGGCAGATAGGTATCAGGACAAGGCTACTCAGGAGTCTGAGGTCAGAGGATCCCTTGAGATCAGGAGTTCAAGACCAGTCCCAGCAACCCAGTAAGAGCCTGTCTCAAAAGACAAACAAACAAACAGAAACCCAAGGAAGAAATACAGAGATAAGAGTCAGAAAAAGAAGAAAATCCAGAGTATTTTTCAGCTGGGAAATAAGAGAAAAATTTCCACATACTATTATGGAATGATCTTCATGATATATATATATTTAAGTACAATAAGCAAGATAGAGAAAATTGTGTATGGCATGTTGGTATGTATCTAATAGAGGGATGTTAAGAATACATACATATATACTTATATTAACAAACAATAGAAGGATAAATAATAACATTATAAATTATTACCTCTAAGGTGAGAGAGGCTACAGGATGAAGAAGAAAGACTTCTTTGAATGTATTTTGATGTAACCTTGGGATAATGTAAAAATATTTTACATAGTGACAAAAGAAAATATTATAATAAAAAGCTAAGTCTCTAAACATCAACAGCAAAATTAAGTACATGAATCTGTGAATTCAGATTGTAACATAAGCACACAGGAAGGAATATTCCAAATACTTTTAGAAACAGTAATATGAACATGCCTACTATGATATACCTTAAGGCAGCAGTTCTCAGACTTTCTGGTCTCATGACCCACTTACACTCTTAAAAAGTTATAAGGATCTAAAGAGTTTGCGTTTCTGGAGCTTATAACTATTGGCATTTACCATATCAGATATTAAAATGAAAAAAATCATTTTGCTAATTCATTTAAAAATAACAATAATAAACCCATTATGTTAGCATACATAGCATATTTTACAAAAAGTAGCCTATATTTTTAAATGAAAAATTAGTAAGAGTGACATTGTTTTGCAATTTTGCAACTCTCTTTAATGTCTTGTTTAATAAAAGAGAGCTGGATTCTGGTATTTGTTTCTGCAAGCAATCTGTTGCAATGATAATTGTCATGTGAAAATTAAAGTGAAAAAGAAAAATGAGTTTTGAGATTATTGTAAAAATAATTTTAGCCTCATAGACCCACTGAAAGAGTCCCAGGGAACTTCTCAAATTACCAGTATTTACACAGTGGGGATTCTTTCAGGCTTTCTTTCCTCTCTCCTTCTCACTTTTTTTTTTTAATTGCTTCTCCAGACATCTGAGATCTTCCTCACTTTCAGGCAGCATGATGTCCCACACCCATCAGGATTTCTTTTGTCCCAAAACTTGTAATCAGGTACTCTTTAAAAAATTGGGGTTCTTCAGTAGAGACTGACATCTCCATACTAGGGTTTATGTTAGATCGCCCTCTGTGAGCACTAATGTACCTGGCTGACTCCAGGGACTTTGGAATCACTTTAATGACAAATTAAAAACACTGTCTTTAAGAGCTAAGTGCATGTTACTCTTTTCACTGAAAATCCCTTATCTAGTCCTAAAATAAAAGTTTTTTTTTTAAAAAAACTAACTTTTCTTTCTGGCTTAAAAGCTTCATTCTTCTGTGTCATATTAAATATTCCCTTATCACAGTTAATTTACCATATTTTGAGTTGTTAATCTAAGTAATGTATTTAAAACACAATATTATTTAAAACTTTAGAAAGCACACAAAAGATTCTTATCCAGATATATATGAAAAGAATACCCATAACACATTAGTGATTTTAATATTCTGCACTGAGCTTTTGGAACAATTAATATACCTCACAGCTAATAAATATAAGGATGCTGTTACTATGCTTTCTTTTTGCAATTTCTACTTCCAAATGTTTCTCCTAGTCATTATTATCTGTATAGCAGTTACTCGAAAAGAAAATGGAATTTTAATTTTTCTAACACTCTAAGAGGACACCAAAAAATACAAAGGTGTTGACTATTATCTAGTTTCTGATTATTCCATTAATTCTATTAAATATAATATAAACAGTATATTCACTTTATATATGTATAAAGTATCTTTTGGCTCATGAAATACGTAGCTTAACCCTCAAAGGATTGGATCTATTTGTATTCTCTGTCTCATTGCTGTACCATGAGCATGAAATAATGTGACGAAATACAAATACCTTGAGACATACACAATACCTTAATATACTACTAGTTTATTTTCAAGATGTCAATTTAAAGGCCGGGCACGGTGGCTCATGCCTGTAATCCTAGCACTCTGGGAGGCCAAGGCGGGCGGATTGCTCGAGGTTGGGAGTTCGAAACCATCCTGAGCGAGACCCCGTCTCTACTAAAAATAGAAAGAAATTAATTGACCAACTAAAAATATATATACAAAAAATTAGCCGGGCATGGTGGTACATGCCTGTAGTCCCAGCTACTTGGGAGGCTGAGGCAGGAGGATCGCTTGAGCCCAGGAGTTTGAGGTTGCTGTGAGCTAGGCTGACGCCACGGCACTCACTCTAGCCTGGGCAACAAAAGTGAGACTCTGTCTCAAAAAAAAAAAAAAAAGATGTCAATTTAAGATATTGGAAAAAATAACTAAATTCAGATCAAGCTGCACTGCAATCGAAGTAATATGACAGATTAGTTTTAAATGACCAGTGTTACATTTATACAATGTTACCTCCAAACTTTGAGTGGAATTATTTATATAGTTCTATATTCTCCTTTTGTAAAATTTTTTAAGTCATTATTCTATTGCAAAGTTCCATTTCTCAAAACATCATTTAACAAGAACCAACTAGTAAAAGATACTGTTACACTTAGATTACAACGTACTTTAGGTGCAACTACATATTCACATCACATATACATAGTCCTAATATTAATTGAAGTAATTGAGATATAACTTCATAGTTTTTTTCCTTAAACAAGTGTAGGGCATTTAGATAGTTAACATTGTGGAACATCTTAGTTTTAGGCAAGATCTAAATTTCTGTAAGCATATGCCATGCCCATACTCTCAGTTTTATATTCTGTATTAATTCTTCTATTAAACCAGACATAATATAAAAAGTCATTTTTAGGCCAGGCGCGGTGGCTCACGCCTATAATCCTAGCTCTCTGGGAGGCCGAGGCAGGCGAATTGCTCGAGGTCAGGAGTTCGAAACCAGCCTGAGCAAGAGCGAGACCCTGTCTCTACTATAAATAGAAAGAAATTAATTGGCCAAATAATATATATAGAAAAAATTAGCCGGGCATGGTGGCACATGCCTGTAGTCCCAGCCACTTGGGAGGCTGAGGCAGAAGGATTGCTTGAGCCCAGGAGTTTGAGGTTGCTGTGAGCTAGGCTGATGCCACGGCACTCATTCTAGCCTAGGCAACAAAGCGAGACTCTGTCTCAAAAAAAAAAAAAAAAAAAGTCACTTTTAAAGAATTAAAAAACACACAAAAGACTTCATTTATTAATGGATATTTTCCTTCATTTTAAACATCTCAAGAAATCCTCTGGGAAATAGTTTGTCTCCATGTTTTATTATAAAATACATACAAATTATTCCTTTTAGAGTAGTAGCTAATATAAAATTTCAGAAATTTGGTATTGTATATCACTTAGGAAAAAAAATACAATTTCCAGAAAGATAAAGGCCATACCTATTCAGCTTTGAATGTGAGGTCTTAAGAAAAGAGTCAAAGAAACTTCTCCCATGCCCTCATCTCAAGACCTGAGACTAAGCGACTTTTATGGTCAACCACTCATTTATGTCTTAAGCATATTGCAAATTAAACATAGTAGGTCACCTATATATATTTTCATATGCAATTTAGACAAATGGCATGAAATGGTTAATTGATAGAATAGTGTATTTTTTTGTTCTTGAGTAACAAGGTGTTTCAGAAGTTTGCTAGCTAAATAGCTAAGAAATGCATAAACAACTATATGTTGCATTTTCTTTGTCTTTTAATTCTTGTTTTTTACAGTGATGGCAGTCCATAATGTTACTTAATTGTTATTTATTCCTTTCATAATAATGTTACTTTAGCTTTTCAAATAATTAAAAGAGAGCCCTGGAAAGTTCCATATACGGGTCTATAAATCTGTTGCTGTTTTTACTTCATATCACTTTTAAAGGTTTTAAAATCTAGTCTTTCCCTTTTTTAGTTCCCTTTATGTAAAATTCAATTATGCTCTGTAGGAAACATTTCTTCCATTTTAGGATCTTGGCAGTTATCCTTTTAGCAATGGTGATGGTCAAAACAGAAGGCTTCATGCCTGTAATCCCAGTACTTTGGGAGGTTGATTTGGGAAGATCACTTGAGGCAAAGAGTTCCAGACCAACCTGGGCAACACAGTGAGATCTCATCTCTACAAAAAGTTAAAAAACAAACAAACTAATAAAAACTAGTCAGGCAAGGTGGTGTGCACCTGCAGGCCTAGCCCCTCAGGAGGCTGAGGCGGGAGGATTGCTTGAGCCTGGGAGTTCAATGTTATAGTGAGCTATTGATCTCACTCTCTCTCCATTGACACCTCTGTCCCTTCTCCTGATTATTGCAGTAGCTTCTACCTGGTATGCCTGATCCCATCCTCATGCTCCTGCAGTCTATCCTCCCCTCAGCTGCCAGAGATCTTTCTTAAAACTTTAGTCATATTAATACATTTAGAATCCCAGTGTTTTTCTCACAGATTTTACTGATTTCTCAATCAAAAATAATTCTTTGTCTCTGGTGTATCTTGGGCTGAGGCACTTATCTTATTTTCCCTTTTATCAATGGGAATTCTTACTTGCAAGAGTCGGGTAATTAGTTCTCATAGTCTATCCCCACTCACTACCTATCATTGTTCTTTGCACTTTCAGGCCCTTAACAAATCCTTGTTAAGTGTAATCACTCATTTTCATTGACTCCCTTGGAATACCTACCTGTATGTTCAATTCTGTAAGAGTTAATAGAAATTTTGTATTCTTATTCAAGTCTGGAAAATTTTCCTTGTGTTCAATTTTGTATCATTTTGCTTTTTGCCACCACACATCTGTTTTACCTCATGCAACCTCCCAACAGGCAACACCTTTATGATTTGGTGACAGTATTAAAAAGGAGGAACTTCTGAAACAGAAGTTAAAAAAAAATTAGGAAATGGATAAACTGGTCATCTGCAGAAGTAACAGACATTTGAGATGGTATGGGGATTTATGGATGGTAAAATTTAGGTGTTTTCGACAAAAAGCAATTTAAAATTTAATTCGGATAAGTTGTGATCACACCAACTTAAGGTCCCCAGTAAAATGTCATAACTGAGGGATGATAGACTGTGTAAAATCTAGGAATCAGTGAAAAAGAATTAGGCTCTGTCAGCATGTTTCTTACTATCTCTGTGGAATAGAGCACTCTTGTTTTCAATGATAAAAACATAATTTTTTTCTAGGCTGGACAAAGGTAATTTAGTCAGGTGAAATAGCTTGAAAATGTTCTTTAGGATCAGATTTTCTCATATATTTCTATGCTCCAATCAGTCCCTTTCTGTTCAGTAAATTGTTCTTTAGGGAAAAAATATTGACAAAAAATTACTCGGAGCAAATCACGTAGATTCTTTTTTTTTTTTTTTTTTTTTTTTTTTTTTTGATGAGAACAAATTCTTCTATCACGTAGATTCTTAAAGCTACCATATATAAGTTCCAGGGTAAAACAATAAAGTGATAATGTGGTTTGGATTCTCTGATCAATTTCTCATGGCTGATCAGCAGTGTCATAAATTCATCAAGATTTTTTCAGCAATAGAGGGTCATATGCTTTGCTCACCAATGTGCAAATAACTCACAAGATTTAGCTTCGAGTTCTTCTCTCTCTCTGTTTTAAGAATTTTAACTTTCTATATAATGGGAGTTATGGACCTAGTATATGAACCTTGTTTAGAGGTACTAAAATTTCTTCTGCATCTTCTATCCATTATCCACACAGATTTTAGGCACCCTTTCTTATATTCTTCTAGACATCTTCTTTCTTGCTGACAATCCCAAGTCATTCAAGCAGTTCCTGAGAACCAAAACTTACATAGAGATAAATAGGTATAGATATATAGACATATATGTATATATTTTTTTCTCTGTGTATTTTTAATAACCAGTAGCTTCTGTAATTTTTATCCTAGCCTGGAGAATGTGTTTAGTTAACTTAATCCCTCCAAATCCACCTCTCATTTTCTCTCCTGGATTTTATTTGCTAATTCCCTCATTCTGTAATACAAACCAATAAAATAATTTGCTACTGATTATCTGTATTAATTAATGAAGAGGATCAAAGGCATCTGTGCTATGAAGTCATGATGACAAAACCCAAATGTGTGGTGAATTTGCTATCATCAAATATCCTGGAGCTGTGATAGTGGAAGAAGATACATAAACGGAAAAAAACAAAACCTCTGTTCTAACAGTATTGAGAGAGATACAGGACATATACACATACACATACATAACATATATCAACATACACACGTATACACATACACATACACACAACCTCCACAGAGATGTTACAAAGATTTTGTGGGAAGCTGAGTAAACTTGAAGTTTATAAGAGCTTAAGAAGCTAAAGGAAGACAAAGCTCAGCTTAGGCCCTAATAGGAAGGGCTTCAGAGAGTAACTGAGACTTGAGTGGATTTTGGAGGATAAATTAGGATTTAGATAGGTGGAGAAGCAGTGAAGGAAGAACCATTAATTAATTGGATTTATGAAGTAGGAATTCTTTCCATTCTGTGCTAAAGGCAAATTCAATACATCAAATAATGTGTGAAGAAACCAACTGAAATGAAGCCTCATCAGGATCCTCCAAGCACTTCCTGGGAATTAGGATTCTTAGTTCAGGAGTCTTAGTCTATAGACTCAGGAGCAAGGATATCTAGAGATTGGCTGCTGACTCATAATTTTAGCCAAAACCTTGAATTCTCTGAGTCCACAGGCCTTTGTAATGGCCTCTGTCAGTCTTTTTCTTTGCCTCCTCTCTACAATAAATCAATAATATTTAGAGAAACACTATTGGGTTTGGGTTTCTCATTTATGTTTTCCTTTATGACAAACTATATGATGTTTGGAACTTGTTTTTATATAAGGATTTGTTCACTCTCTATTATATTTTTCAGTATAGTATTTGATACATAAAAATAATATATAAAGTATAAAGCAAATTATATGAAATACCTTTGACTGACTTCTAACCCCAAACCCTTGTCCTGCCTTCATTACTGAGGTACCACTGACTTATATTTTTAAAATCTGTCTCTTAAAAATAGTTTTATTATCATATATGTGCTTCTGCATGCACTTAAACAACATATAATTTGAGTTTTTTTGAGCTTGATAAAATGGTATAATATATGAACCTTCTGAGACTTCTGTTCCTGAAATTCAAGCATGTACTATGTAGTTTATTTTCTCTGCATATTTCATAATATGAATGAACCTCAATAAATGTATTTATTCTTTTGACCATGAACATTTGACTGCTTCTGGTGTTTTGATATTAAACAATAGCATTGTTCCATTCTTGTATGTCTCCTATTGCATGTGTAAAATACTCTCATGTAAACAACTAAAGGTCAAATTGTTGTCACTGGAATATCCTAATTGGATAAAAGATATCAAAAACCTTCAGCAAGGTGGGTGGGGTGGCTCACCCCTGTAATCCTAGCACTCTGGGAGGCCAAGGCAAGAAGATCGCTCAAGGTTAGGAGTTCAAAACCAGTCTGAGGAAGAGGAGACCCGTCTCTACTAAAAATAGAAAGAAGTTAATTGGCCAACTAAAAATATATAGAAAAAATTAGCCGGGCATGGTGGCAGCATGCCTGTTCCAGCTACTCAGGAGGCTGAGGCAGGAGGATGGCTTAACCCAGGAGTTTGAGGTTGCTGTAGCCAGGGCAACAGAGTCAAACTCTGTCTCAAAAAAAAACAAAACAAAACAAAAAAAAACCTTCAGCAAATACAACTCAATATTAAAGAGTTCTAACAGGTGATTGCTGGCAAAGACCAAATAATGTTAAATATGCCATTTAGAGGCTTAAAATGGAGAAACTGATTTTGATTTCCTGAGTTGGGGGTTGAGAGAAAGTGGGAACAGCCTTCTGCTCTACTTTCTCGTTTACTTTTAAAATTTCTTCCAGTTAATAAATAGTAAATGCAAGTAACACAGAGAGAAAGAAAACAAGGAACAGATTCTAACAGGAAAGATAGGAAGTAGAAACTAATCCTTTTCATAAAGAGGAATTCCACTCAAGAGAAACAGGGGAGTGGAAAAAATGACAGGGTTCCTCTCACAAACCAACACTGCCCAGAATTTTCCCAATTAAAACAGACTCACAAAGAGAAACCAGTGGTGAGCTTTCGAATTGTCCGCGCAGCGTCTGGATCGGCCAATGACAACAACTCAGCTTGTGACTGACACGGACAATACTTTGAATCGGGACAGGACAGGAGAAACAGCACTACCCCCAAAAGAAAACAAAAGTGAAGGCTATCTGTTCGTTTCTGTGTGTGCCTACATTAGTAAAGGACACACGAAAATGAAGGATAGAGAGCCTAAGTTATTAACGATATTTAACCAGTTTGACGTTTTTAAAGATGAGTGGATTTTGTTTTGGGATAAAGGGCATTGAATTTTTCCTTTACTAGGTTTGTCTGATGTTAAACTTGATTCTTCCTGATAGAAATCCATGTAAAATTGTCTTGCGCGTCGTTGCAGCATGCAGTAAATAGCAATGCACAGTAATTTCCTAACCATCCCCAAATAAGGAAACTCGTAAATTGTTCTTTGTAGCAAATTAGAGATACCAGCTGTAAGAAAAGTGAAAACTGAGTGCTAGCTCTCTTTGGAAGACTCTGGGGTGGCTCTGAAAAGAGCCTTTGGGGTGTGGGCAGAGACTGACCGATTGCTCTGCGGCTCGCGGACTCACTTGGAGCTGGTGTACTTGGTGACGGCCTTTGTCCCCTCGGACACGGCGTGCTTGGCCAGCTCTCCCGGCAGCAGCAGGCGCACCGCCGTCTGGATCTCCCTGGAGGTGATGGTCGAGCGCTTGTTGTAATGCGCCAGGCGAGAGGCCTCGCCCGCGATGCGCTCGAAGATGTCGTTGACGAACGAGTTCATGATGCCCATGGCCTTGGACGAGATGCCGGTGTCCGGGTGGACCTGCTTCAGCACCTTGTACACGTACACGGAGTAGCTCTCCTTTCGGCTGCGCTTGCGTTTCTTGCCATCCTTCTTCTGGGCCTTGGTCACCGCCTTCTTGGAGCCCTTCTTCGGGGCAGCAGCGGACTTTGAGGGCTCAGGCATGGTCAGGAGTAACCGTGGAGAAGCTCGAAAACAGGAGTATGTGTAAGCCGGTAAATGGCCACTTTTATTCACAGCTCCTTAAGCAAAAAAGGAAATGGATGAAGTTGTCTGATTAGTGGTGAGTCCAGGCAACGTCATATATTAATTTTGTCCAATCAAAATAAATGTATTTGAAAACAACAATTCCATTGGTCTAAGAGCAACTGTATTTTTAGCCAATGGCATAGCTTCGTTTTTGCGCCCAGTGATGACTATAAGTAGTGCCGCTCTTCCCTAACACGCTTTAGGCTGCGCTTAGGCCGCCATCCTCGGTGTCATGTCTGGACGCGGCAAGCAGGGCGGTAAGACTCGCGCCAAGGCCAAGACCCGCTCTTCCCGGGCCGGCCTTCAGTTCCCGGTGGGCCGAGTGCACCGTCTGCTCCGCAAGGGCAACTATGCCGAGCGGGTCGGAGCCGGCGCCCCGGTGTACCTGGCGGCGGTGCTGGAGTACCTGACCGCCGAGATCCTGGAGCTGGCGGGCAACGCGGCTCGCGACAACAAGAAGACGCGCATCATCCCGCGCCACCTGCAGCTGGCCATCCGCAACGACGAGGAGCTCAACAAGCTGCTGGGCAAAGTCACCATCGCTCAGGGCGGCGTCCTGCCCAACATCCAGGCCGTGCTGCTGCCCAAGAAGACCGAAAGTCACCATAAAGCCAAGGGCAAGTAGAGGTCTCGAGCAGTTTGCTTCTCGTAGCTTTTGTCCAAATCAAAAGGTTCTTTTCAGAGCCACTTACTTTTACTCAAAGAGCTGTGCTCAACATTCAGTAGTTGAATCAGTTTGCAATGGTTTTCCTTTTTTTTTTTTAGTACGATATCCTTATGACACTCAAAGCAATGGATTTTTTATTTGTTTGGGTTTTTTTTGCAGCTTAAGCATGAAGAGCAAAACCAAAGCGCTTTTGAAGTCACATTGTTTTGGAGTAGCAAGGTGACATTGAAAAGTCCGATAATCTTATTAATATAACAAAGTTTTAGTGTCATTTATTTCAAAGTCCCGAATTCCAGCTTGGAAAGAAATTTGTTTCTTGCTTGTGAGTATAGTTTATGCTTAATAAAACCATGAGAACAAAATTTGGGTATCCCTGTGGTCCTTGATAAATTAAGGGTCCTGAATCAGTCTTCATCTATGGTGTGTCAGACACCTCCTAAATGGAAATACAGTATTAATCCAGAAGGGTAAAGTCTGTATCTAAAAGGAGCTTCAAGTTGGTCTCAACGAGTAGTTTTATAATGGATTGTCGATACTTCACCAAACGATGAAGTAAAGATGGTGTGGGATTACATTAGGAAGAACATGTTTACTTAAAGACATGAATAGTGGACCTTGTAGCTCAAGTTCTTTTACCTTCTATGAGTCATATCCTGTTCCTGTCAATTTTTACCCTTTTCACTATAATTCACTCCCTCCACAGATCACAAAGTTACCTTAGCTAGAGAGGGTCTTCTACACATGTGTACATCATTAGCTAATGCCTAGTTTTACTCATGAAGACATGTTAATTAAAATGAATTTCTATAGGCATTTCTTGTCCATTAGAATCAATTTTCTGCGTCTCTTGATACATATGAATTTACTATATTGACATCTCAATTGCAATCACAATTCAAATAATATTCCTTGGAATAAAACAGCAATCACAAACAGGTGTGTGTCACTGGGCTCTATTAATTGAGATAGGGCCTCACACTGTCCCCAGGCTGTAGTGCTGTGTGGCACAATCAGGTCAGTGTAACCTGGGCTCCTGAAATCCTCCCACCTTGGCCTCCCAAAGACCTGGGATTACAGGCATGAGCCACAGTGCCTGGCCGCCTTGCTTCCAATAATTCTTACAGTATCTTTTCTTTTCTTTCTTTCTTTTTTTTTATGAGACAGTCTCCTCTGTCACCCTAGCTAGAGTGCAATGGTATCATCATCGCCCATTGCAACCTCAAACTCCTAGGCTCAAGCGATCCTCCTGCCTCAGCCTCCAGTGTAGCTGGGACTACAGGCATCCCTCACCACATCTGGCAAAGTTTTGTAATTTTTTTTATTGAGAAAGGTCTCACTCTTGCTCAGGCTGGTCTCCAACTCCTGACCTCAAGGGATTCTACTGCTTTGGCCTCCCAGAGTGCTAAGATTACAGTAGTTTACAGTAACTAGTGAGGTAAGTACTGTAGGGACCAAGGGAAAACTTCTCCTTCACCCTCTGGATATTCAATAAAAATCAACAAACAAAAGGCAGATTAATAGGAGTAATGGTATACAAATTTCTTTTTGTTTTTGTTTTTTTGAGACAGAGTCTCACTCTGTTGCCCTGGCTAGAGTGCCACTGGCATCAGCCTAGCTCACAGCAACCTCAATCTTCTGGGCTCAAGCAATCCTCCTGCCTCAGCCTCCCAAGTAGCTGGGACTACAGGCATGTGCCACCATGTCCGGCTAATTTTTTAGTTGGCCAATTAATTTCTTTCTATTTTCAGTAGAGAAAGGGTCTCACTCTTGCTCAGGCTGGTCTGGAACTCCTGACCTTGAGCTATCGGCCTGCCTTAGCATCCCAGAGTGCTAGGATTATAGGCGTGAGCCACCAAGCCAGGCCCTGTATACAAATTTTTAATATGCACAGGGAAGAATCACAAAGTGATTATCCCAATTCCCCAATGGAGCACAGAAGTTTATATACCCTTTTTCATAGGGGAAGAAGGAAATGGAGAAGGTAGGTACTAATCTTTTACTACCCCTTAAAATAATTTTAATTCTTTTAAGGGGTAGTATATGGTTAGTAGGGAGAATAAATGGACCACAAAGACAAATTAACTTGCAAACAATTCTCTTTGTAATTTAAATGAGCTGGAGAGGCAAGCATCAGCTTGTGGAAAAGTCCATCCAGGTGTGGTTGAATTTTTTCAGTCTTCCCACAAATATTACTAGATAATGAGGTAATAGAGTGGGAATAGATGGTAATTGTGCGTTAGCCAGTTTTTAATAACCACTTTCTTGGTCAGATGAGGAAATTCCAGACAAAGTTCCTCCCTGCATTTGGGGGCTGGGAATTAAGTTAGAGGGACCTTTTTCCTGAGTCTTATTTCTGAGGCCTTTCAATTTTCAAAAGCATGCCCCAGTGCCATAGCTGGGAGAATCATTTTCTACACCTAAACTGCAATGTAACTACCCTAATCTCACTTAACAGATAAGGAAAAATTTCGAAAGCATAAGCAAGTAAACAGAAGTCCAGTTAGTAAAGAAGATTCAATTTCAAACCAGGTGTTTCTAGCTCCAGAGTTTCAGCTCTTAATCACTTTCTAAAACAAATAAATGAAGAATAAGGGATTTCAGTAAGATAATTGTAGAAACATTATAATTTTCATTAGTGTTAAAAAGAATTTCAGAGTATAACCCTGTGTTTGTTTAAAAATAAAAGAAAAAAACTCAATATATGCAAAGATTATTCCATATTAAATATTGATGAAAACCACATCTTTAGATGGGTCATTTAAAAAAAGCTTTTTAAAAACCTAGAAACACCAAGTTTCTGGTTATAAGAAGTTCTTTTAAAGATTTTAATCCTATCCCAAGTAATTTATAAATTTAATGCAATTATGATCAAAATCTCAAAGAAGTTTCATTCAAACTTCACAAAATTATTCTAAAATTGCCTAGAAAAGAAATCTTGGTAAAATTAGATTAGAAAATTTGAGAAAGAATGAGGAGACCTGCAATACAAATTGTGAGACCTGTAATAACAGATAGATTTTAAAGTTTTAATGTAATAAAAAATAGAAATATCAGTATTGGTCCCAAATATACTGAAGTACATTTATGTTAATTGTGCAAAAGATGTTATTTTAAAAATCCGATAAATTACTAGGGAATTGGTTAACACCGTCATGAAAATTTATGAGAAAGGTAGACATTAAAAATAACTTTTTCTTTAAATAAGAGAAATTAAAATGTAATCATTGTAAAGAGGTTACAAATGGAAAATGTACATTTATCTGCTCACCAAAATATTATCAGCTAGCAGCGATGATCTCTGTGGTAAGTTACTTTATTGTTTGTCCCTTTTTTTGTATTTTCTACAATATTAATGTTTTTCTTTTGCGTCCAAAAGCCATTTATTTTTTTAAAGCCGTAAAACAGAAACAGAACAGTTATTACATTACAAAACTAGGAATAAGAGGCTCGCTTTTTTTAATTAGGTTTTTCCCTCCCCCACTGAGGGCGGGCCTTCCCGCCTTCTTCTTTGGGTTCTCAATTCGGTCCGCCAGAGACATATAAAGGGCTGCCTCAGGCGAGCTCCTTCACAAGGCGTTTTGTCAGTCTTGTTGCTCTCTTCTCTGTTATCATGTCTGGCCGAGGCAAGGGCGGGAAGGGTCTTGGCAAAGGCGGAGCCAAGCGCCACCGCAAGGTTCTGCGCGATAACATCCAGGGCATCACCAAGCCTGCAATCCGGCGCCTGGCCCGCCGTGGCGGAGTTAAGCGCATCTCAGGCCTCATCTACGAGGAAACCCGTGGGGTGCTCAAGGTGTTCCTGGAGAACGTGATCCGCGACGCCGTCACCTACACGGAGCACGCCAAGCGCAAGACGGTCACCGCCATGGACGTGGTCTACGCGCTCAAGCGCCAGGGTCGCACTCTCTATGGCTTTGGAGGATAAACGTTTATGATTTTTTTCCCCCCCATTAACAAAAGGCCCTTTTCAGGGCCCCTAATTTTCTCACCTGAGGAGCTGTGACACTGAATCAGTAGAAGCTGCTTATCTCCCAAAGATCTGCCTAAAGGTTTTGAAATCTTTGAACAATGTCTTTGTGGACGTAGTCACTAGCTTGTGACTTACTTTCTATTACTCAAGGGGCATGTTGCCCGTTTCTGGGGCTCTGCTGTTGGCCGCTAGCTAGCCAATCCTGGTTGGATTTTAAGTGTACTGCTGTGCAGTCTTAAAGTTGACTACACTTTATCCTAGGAGGTTCGTATTTGGTGGCAGCTTTTTATAAACTGCCTACAGATGCGAGAGAAACTCATTCAAAACGTGCTGTAAGCATGTGACACCAAGACTCAGGTGCTTGGTAGTATTACTCGAATGTTTTTGAAAACCCGGAAGTCGGCAGGGAAGTTTTTGAAGTTACAAAGGAAGGACTGCTGTTTTTCTTGTCTCAGGAGATTTTCTTTTTTTAAATAATGGATGTCTAAGGTATAGCTGACAAAGCACAATGTACGTGATCTGAGATGTATGTACCATGTGGAATGAATAAATTGAGCTTAATATCTGTTACTTACATTTTTGTGGTGAGAACATTTAATATTAATGTTTAATTTTCCAGTATACGATAAACTTGTTGCTATGCTACATATTGGATCTCCAGAATTTATTCATCTTTTCTGGGTTTATGCTCTTTTACCAACATCTCCCCATTGCATCCCCAGACCCATCCCTTGGCAACCACTATTCTGCTCTTCCAATGAGTTCAACTTTTTTAGATTCCTCATACAAACGAGGTCATGCAATGTTTGTCTTTCTGTGCCTGGCTTATTTCACTTATAATCTTCAGCTTCATCTATGTTGTCGGTCACAGCAGGTTAATTTCTTTTTTTAAGGCTGAATAGTATTCCATTGTATACTTAACACATTTTTTTAAATCATCTGGTGATGATCATTTAAGTTGATTCCATGAGAGAGCTTTTAAACTTAAATTCATAAATGGAATCCAGTGAGTAATGCTATTTTTAAGGTGTTTTTTTGGGGTGGGTGGGGAGTTAAGTTGAATGATTATTCATTAAGTGTTGATGAAAATGATGAATGTGTCATTGTCGATATCAAAAACTCAGAAGGGACAATTACAGTAGCATTGATTAAGATATACTAAAAGTACAAAACTTGTAGTCCAAGTGTGGAGTGCAGATATGTTTTAGACTTTTTTTTTTAATCTGTGGTTTTTGTCAGTAATGCAAAAAAAAAGATATTTTATATGAAAAACATATATTTTTAAATCCTGAAAATTTGTCATCTCTGGCATTGCTAAGTGGGTGGGCCCACAGAAATTTTTCTTTGGACATAAAGAATAATTTTTTTAGGATATAAAAAAATATAAACAAAACTTAAAATGTAAATGTTCTCTTTTACAACTTTATACCATCAAAGTGGTGTGATATAGTGTGGTGAAATGTTTAAGCACAACCATTAGAAGCAGATGACTTGGGATCAAACTTAAACCAATCAATTTCTAGTTGTAGGTACTTGGGTTAATTTACATGTAGTCTCTGAGCCTATTTCTTTGAACATTTGTGTGATGATGATAGTACCTAGCTTAAAGGGATGTTGTAAGGATTAAACAAATTGATAAATGAAAAATGCTTAGAACACAGTGTCTGACCCACAGTAAGTACAACATGAAGCACTTAATATTACTCATTTATGCCTTGCTTCCAATTTCATGTGACTTTGGGACCCTTGGGTGAAAGAGAGCTTTTAAAATAACCACATTTCAGTACTCCAGATTCAACTAGGAATTGTATGACTAGATTTAGGAGATACCCTAGTCTATTACGGAACCACAGGAAATGCCCAAATGTCAAGTTATATTTTTTCAAAAAATTTTTGCAAATGGCGATATAATCTTGATTATTCCTTCAGTGTCATATCTTTTCTTTAGCATGTACTCATATTCTGTCTGGGTTGTAAATGAAGGGTAAGAGCCTCCCTAGCCTTCTGAGGATGACTACAGCATGGATGGAGAGGTTTGCTGTGATTTTTGTCCTTCCTTAAACACGTTCTCTCTACCTTTCTATTAAACTCATTTCTTTTTTCTGGCAGAAAAAAATACCAGACATGTAGATTAGTGCTTTGTGTCTTAATTAACAGCACATAAGAGACAAGAGGAAAAGTTATTGTTTGTTTAAATATCAACTAGTTCTTTCCTTGGACCAATTAAGTCAGAATCTCTGGGTTTGGGTCACTTCAAATATGACTCACCACTTCCCATTAATCACTGGTCCTGCAGGCATGTGAAGTTTAGGGGGAAATCTGTTTTAATAGCATCTTCTAGGCTGGGCACGGTGGCTCATGCCTATAATCCTAGCACTCTGGGAGGCCCAGGCAGGCAGATGGTTTGAGTTGAGGAGTTCAAAACCAGCCTGAGCAAAAGCAAGACCCCCGTCTCTACTAAAAAAAAAAAAATAGAAAGAAATTAATTGGCCAACTAAAAATATATAGAAAAAATTACCTGGGCATGGTGGCGCAGCCAGTAGTCCCAGTTACTCGAGAGGCTGAGCCAGGAGGATCACTTGAGCCCAGAAGTTTGAGGTTGCTGTGAGCTAGGCTGAGGCCATGGCACTCACTCTAGCCTGTGTAACAAAGTGAGACTGTCACACACACACAAAAAGGGACAATGGGTGGGTTATTCTTTGTTGTAAGCATCCTTTGTTGTATTGAGAGGTTATGTGTCACATTCAAGAATTCAAATTCTTTTTTTTATTATTTCTTCTTAGAGACAGACTCTCTCTGTCACTCAGGCTGAGGTGCAGTGGCAGGTGACCATAATTCATTGCAGCCTTATATTCCTAGGCTCAAGTGCATTTTTTTTTTTTTTGAGACAGAGTCTCGCTTTGTTGGCCAGGCTAGAGTGAGTGCCCTGGCGTCAGCCTAGCTCACAGCAACCTCAAACTCCTGGGCTCAAGCGATCCTTCTGTCTCAGCCTCCCGAGTAGCTGGGACTACAGGCATGAGCCACCATGCCCGGCTAATTTTTTATATATATATCAGTTGGCCAATTAATTTCTTTCTATTTATAGTAGAGACGGGGTCTCGCTCTTGCTCAGGCTGGTTTTGAACTCCTGACCTTGAGCAATCCGCCCGCCTCGGCCTCCCAAGAGCTAGGATTACAGGCATGAGCCACCGCGCCCGGCCTTTTTTTTTTTTTTTTGAGACAAGGTCTCGCTCTGTTGCCCAGGGTAGAGTGCAGTGGTATCATTGATAGCTTACTGCAACTCACTGCAACCTCAAACTCCTGGGCTTAAGCGATTCTTCTGCCATAGCTTCCTGAGTAGCTGGGACTACAGCTGTGCACCACCATACCCAGCTAATTTCTTCTACTTTTTTGGAGAGACAGGGTCTTGCTCTTGCTCAGGCTTGTCTCTAACTCCTGGCCTCAAGTAAAACTCCCACCTAAGCCTCCCAAAATGCTGGGATTACAGATGTGACCCACGGCTCCCAGCCCAGGAAATTTTTGCCTCAGCTTCCTAAATAACTAGGACTACAGGTGTGCACCACCACACCTGGCTAATTGTTAACATTTTTTTTTTTTTTGGTGGAGCTTGGGGTACCACTATGTTGCCCAATGTGGTCTTGAACTCCTAGCCTCAAGTAATTCTCCTGCCTCAGCCTCCCAAAGTGCTGGGTCTACAGGCATAAGCCACCACACCCATCGAGGAATTCAAATTCTTATCTTTCTCCTAAGAGAGGATGTAGGTCAACAGTCACATGTTTACTTTATCTATGGTTAATAGTTTAAAAGTTCTTGCATAAAAAGATCTTGCTATAAACATTTGCTAGGTTCAACAGTTGGAGTCAAGACACCAGAAACCTAGGACAACTGCTTGGCTTTCCTCTCCAACTATACTGGGAAAACCCCCTAAAAAGAAACTATAATTTTTATTTACTCTAAAACCTGAACAAGTAGAAAAAAGTATCATAACTCAATGCTCTAAGAAGTACCATGTATAGTCCCCTTTCCAATCTTCTTCCATTAAAAAACCACTCCATTCAATTGATAATACCTTTATCCTTGTCTTTTGTCATATTTATATTCAACTCCCTAACAATCTTTCTTGGTTTGCCTTCAAGATACAGACACTGACCAATTCTCAATACGTCCAGGCTACTGCCCTGTATGAGTGACTATCATCTCCAGATTACTGGCATCAGTCTCCTTAATATTTTCCTGGCTCCCCACTGTCGTGTAGGAAGTTACCTTGACCTCCTGGCAGCCTGTAAATATTCTACCAGGCAAACTCTCCTGTGGCACAAAAATACTCAGACCAAATTAAAATGTGGGAGATGGTTTATTAAATCAATTTAAATATGCAGCAAGGAGAAACAAATGAGGTAAGTTAACATTTAGGATGAGGGTGCAAGGAGATGGACCACGGTAGCTGAATCATGGGTTATACATTGTGCATATATCTTACCTGTTTCACTGATGGACCAGCCTTCTTCACTGATGATATGCTTATGGTTATGACAACCAGAGTCCAGGTCTGGGGAAGGAGGCCCACAAATGCTAAGTATTCTGGGCCAATGACAAGCACTTACTCCATTGAAGAGGAGAGACAAACATGCCTGGTTGCTTGCCATAGCCTTCTGAATAGCCATGGAGTTTTTTGTGCTTCTTGAACAAAGGATATATGGGGCCAGAATGGATATCACCAGAGAGACTGAATTAAGGCACCCTTGGGTCAAGTATATTTAATATATTATGAATATTTAGTGTTTCATGTACTTCATGTATATTTAGTATCCAGATTTAATCATGTATGAATAGTGCCTCATGAATATTATCTATCTCTTGGTCCTTTATTTGTTTATATATTTAATCACACAAGCTCTATTTACTGTTTATACTGAACACATGAGTTCCATCCATCACATTTTTCTAGCAGAACTGAATAGTCTCACGTAGTGCAAGAAATGAAAATTACAAAACATCAGGAAACCAAGACTAAGAATTTTATCAAATGTAATCAGACCCTTGGACAGATATTTTATAATAGAATATTTCAAATTTTATCTTTTGTTCAACTTGATCTGTTTTAATGATATAGTTGTGAAAAGATAAAAGGGCTTGCTTGTTTTAAGAAGGATTGATTAAGTCTATGTTAAAAACTGCATCCCTATGAAAAATAATGGGACTTAGTAAAATAGTTTTGTATAATATCCAATCACTTTTTCATGTTGTTTTGTAGAAAGGGCCAATCAATATATATATGTATTTTTTTTTTTTTTTTGAGATAGAGACTCACTTTGTTGCCCAGGCGAGAGTTAGTGCCATGGCGTCAGCCTAGCTCACAGCAACCTCAAACTCCTGAGCTCAAGTGATCCTCCTGCCTCAGCCTCCCAAGTAGCTGGGACTACAGGCATGCACCACCATGCCCGGCTGATTTTTTCTACATATATTAGTTGGCCAATTAATTTCTTTCTATTTATAGTAGAGACAGTTTTCGCTCTTGCTCAGGCTGGTTTCAAACTACTGACCTTGAGCCATCCACCCACCTGGCCTCCCAGAGTGCTAGGATTACAGGCTTAAGCCACCGCACCCGGCCGATATATCATATATTTTCTACAGAATCATTATTCTTAAGTATTCCTAACAACTTATCAGAAGATGTTAGAATATTTTTCTAAAATATGAGAAGGTAGTTTGAAAAAGATAGCAACTTCAAATATGTTAAGGACGCATTAGTAAAGGAACTTTAGCCACAAATTAGTTCATTCAGTCCTAAGTAATTAATTTTTGCTTTCTTGATCCTGAGTGAAGCAGGTTGCTTCTATTATGCCCTGGAAAATATTAAATCAAGAATATTTTGTATATACTGTAGTCAAGTATGACAAGTAACTGGCACAGTCCTTTCTTAAAGTTATTTTGATGCTGCTGGAAAACTCAATTTCAGATCTGTATTGTGTAGCAGGAACCTTTAGATAATTGTATGGAAAAAAAAACATCTGTTGATAAAATATCTGGCTTATTTATTAAGCAACATTATCAGTATAGGAAAGAATAGAATCCTTTAGGAATCATACTATCAATAGTGAAGACACTGAAAAACCTCTAGGGCCTACTTATATATCACATAAGCATTTACGTTTATTACCACCAAATAACAAGGGCATTTATACCTAGGAAGAAAATCAGTTTGTTGGAAGTTTTGTGCTAGACTTTTCTATGAACATAAGTATGTTCTATCCATCTTTGCCTGGCTAATTTTTTTTTTTTGTCTTGCTATATTGCCTCAAGCAATACCCCTGCCTCAGCCCCCCCCCAAATACTGGTATTACAGACATGAGCCACTATGCCCAGGCTATTAAGTACATTTTATCTGGTTAACTTAGGGATGCATAATTTCCTTTTCTGATTTGCTTTGTTTTTTCTCATATTGTGCAATATATAACATAACTGTTCTCACATTTGTATGTGACTAAGTACAAATATAAATTATGTCTTCTCTTATAAAATGAGGAAACACATATGTGTAATCTAGTGGTCAGGATACTCCAAAAATAGTTTAAATATAAGTAACACATAACAGTTTCATTACTCAAAATCTGGGACCTTGAATTGAAAAAGATAACACCAAAAATGGTTACATTTGTTACATATTTTGTTACAAGAAGATATGAGAATGTCAGATTTTTAAAGACAAATACTAAAATATTAGTTATAAAAGCAACACTTAAATTATGCACAATATACTTAGCTTTTTTAAGAACTAACATTTTGGTCAAAATTATTCAAGAAATCAATAGAAAGCCACAGACTCTTAGAAGCTGTTGGGAAATATAACTAAAAACAAAATCACCTTTGGCTCTGGATTTTTCTCTTTAGTATCTAAGACCTAAGGAAGGGTAATAGAACCGCCTTTGAAGTTAGATCTGGATATATTTCCTACTATCATTTAATCCCTGTTCCACTCTGTATTAAGGGACACTTCTCAGTAGTCCTCCTGGGTTGGAGGGTTGCGTTGTAAACATTTTTTCATCCTATAGAACACTTCTGCAATGCCTTATAATTTAGTTGAAAAGCCTTTCAATTGCATCGTATCCTCACCAACTGTTCTGTGGGAAATCACCTGCAGTTAGTTTCTAAGTATTGTACTAGCTTTCCAGACTCCTAGTGTGCTAATTAGAAATGGAGCAAGGAGACGAGGACATGTTTGGTTTGTCCAATACATGTGGTCATAACTACAGTTGACCAACTAGCCTGGCAAACTATCATGCGGTTTTTTGTTTGTTTGTTTGTTTGTTTTTGAGTCTCACTCTGTTGCCCGGGCTAGAGTGAGTGCCGTGGCGTCAGCCTAGCTCACAGCAACCTCAAACTCCTGGGCTCAAGGAATCCTCCTACTCAGCCTCCCAAGTAGCTGGGACTACAGGCACACGCCACATGCCCGGGTAATTTTTCCTACATATATTTAGTTGTCCAGCTAATTTCTGTTTTTAGTAGAGACGGGGGTCTCAGTCTTGCTCAGGCTGGTCTCGAACTTCTGAGCTCAAAAAACGATCAGCCCGCCTCGGCCTCCCAGAGTGCTAGGATTACAGGCGTGAGACACCATGCGTTGTTACTTAAACAGAGCGCCAGAACGGATATCGCCAGTACGTGGCCAACTATTGGCCTCAAATATGCTGAATCCTCCACGTTTCCCGAATTGCATAAGGGGTGTCCCCTCCACCGCTTTCTACAGCAGAGACATACTAAACATCTTCATTAAAAGCCTATTCGTTTCATGCTGTATTAGCTCTAGTTCACGCCTCATACGTTTTGTTGTAGTAGGCCAGACCTGTTTTCTTACTTTTTCGGTGTCGAGTAAGATTTGTTAAGAAATAGCATTAAACTAAAGGGCGCGCTTAGCCTAATGCTGGCTAGTAATAGGCAACAGAAACACTTACCTTAGTTGTGGCTGGAGACGCATGCGCGAATAGCAATGCAAACTGAGCACGCGCAGAAAGGAACACTGAAACCAGAAAAAAAAAAAAAGCATAATAGCTCCTTTGGTGAGAAGGTGGGTGGCCCTGAAAAGGGCCTTTATGTTGGTAGCAAAGCCAAAAATGCATTCAGCCGCCGAAGCCATAGAGAGTGCGACCCTGGCGCTTGAGCGCGTAGACCACGTCCATGGCGGTGACCGTCTTGCGCTTGGCGTGCTCCGTGTAGGTGACGGCGTCGCGGATCACGTTCTCCAGGAACACCTTGAGCACCCCACGGGTTTCTTCGTAGATGAGGCCGGAGATGCGCTTAACTCCGCCACGGCGGGCCAGGCGCCGGATTGCAGGCTTGGTGATGCCCTGGATGTTATCGCGCAGAACCTTGCGGTGGCGCTTGGCTCCGCCTTTGCCAAGACCCTTCCCGCCCTTGCCTCGGCCAGACATGACGACAGAGAAGAGAACTACAAGACTGACAAAATGCCTTGTGAAGGAGCTCGCTTGAGGCAGCCCTTTATATGTCTCTGGCGGACCGAATTGAGAACCTGAAAGTAGTCAAGAAGGCCCGCCCTGTTTGGAGGGGGAAATCTAACGCGCAAAAAAAAAAAAAAAAAAAAAAAAAAGGCGTGCTTTCTGTTTTGTAATATAGCACTATTTTATTAGTATGTTTTAAGGCTTTAAAAAATAAATGGCTTTTGAATGCAAAGGAAAAACCTTAATATTGTGGAAAATACAAAAAAGGACAATCAATAATCCCATCACACAGATCACCACTGCTAGCTACTAAGATATTTTAGTCAGCAAATCAATGATAAATGTACATATTTTTCTAAGCAAATGTATGCGGTGCTGTATATGGCGTTTTGCAATTTCTTTATACTGATTATATTTTAATCAATTTCCCTTATCTAAAGAGCTTTCCAAACAAAGGTGATTTTGATGTCTGCTTATTATTCCTCTTTCTTCTCCTCCCTCCCTTCCTTCCTTCCTTTCTTTTTTCTTTTTTTTTGGGAGATAGGATCTAGCTCTTTTTCCCAGACTGGAGTACAGTGGCACAGTCACAGCCCACTGTAACCTTGAACTTCTGGGGTCAAGTGATATTCCTGCATAAGCCTACAGAGTAGCTAGGATTGTAGGTGTGCTGCACCTTGCCCACGTGATTTAAAATTTTTGTGTGTGTGGAGGAGACAGAGTCTGCTATGTTATCCAGGCTGGTCTCCAACTCCTGGATTCAACTGATCTTTCAGCCTTGGCCTCCCAAAGTGCTGGGATTATAGGTGTGAGTCAGTATGCCCAGCCCTGTTTGTTATTTTTTCTTATGAATTCTTCATAGTGTTAATACAATATTATTCCTTCTTATGAATTCTCTGTAATTTTACCCAATTCTCTAGCAGTTCATTGATCACCCAGATTTTAAAAATAATACATCTTTTCCCTGCTTATGAAATACCAGCTTTGACACTATACTTACTTGGAACTATTACCAAAATTCTATTCTGTTCCATAATTGAATCAAGTTCTCTTGCCAAAGGAAATCTATGTCCACAGTTAAAAATTTAGAAAAATTGCATTAGGGAAAATTTTAGAAGTAATGATCTATATCCGCTTATTATTCAATAATAAGGATTTTCTGATACTTTCTAACAAAAGCTCTAGTACTTAGCAATAATGTCCTTTCTAGCTTATTTTCCTATTTTAAAGGAGAATGGCACGTTATTTATTTCCTGAGGGTAACCTAAAATTGAAATGCTTTGTCACAAAGGATATAGATTTTTAAGGCATTTTGATTAATCTTATGTAGGGAGCAAGGCCCTTAGCCCCATAAAGATTCACTGAAAATTCAATGACACAGGCAGATTGATTAATTGGAGAAAAAGACACACAAATTTATTTTAACAGGTATACAACGGGAGCCTTAAGAGTTAAAGCTTAATTCCTCAATGAGATACAGAGGTTTTTAAAGAATGGGAGCTTGGGTTGTAGCCAAACAGGTTTTGGGTGGCAAGACAGGTTATAGGAGGGAGAATAGAAGCTTGACTAGCAAAGATGGTTTTGTTATGTCTCACAGATAGCAGCCCTCAAAGGGAATAGGTGACAAATGTTTCTTTTTAGACTTTTAAAGGTATTAGAATCTCAGTTAATCTTTCCTAGATCATAAGCAAAGACTTGGCTGTATTAATGGAGGTTCTTTACAATTCAAATTTCTCTCTACAAAAGACAGCTTTGCAACCTCACTTCTATTCCTGAGATGATGGAAACCATCTCAAAATATATCACAGAATATTTGAATATTTGGGGTAAAATATTTTTCATTTCCTTCACTTACTACATTTTCCTCAAAGGTTTTATTACATTCACTTTTGTCAGCAGTAACTATTGGATATATACCTTTACCATCACTGCGTATTATGGTCGTTAAAATCTATTTGTTACATCAAGAATCGTAACAGAGTAGTGACGTCTCCTGCCATAGATATGGAAGGGATATATTGAAAGTCGGGCATACGTAACAGAGGAAATGGCCTGAAAAAAATGGCAAAAATATTTTCTGTCTCTAAAGCATCCTCCACTGCTTTTTGAGAACTAAAATCTTCGTCCCAGCCTCAGGCCAGTGGTTGAGAGGGGCAGGGTGAGTCTTTCCTTATTTGTGCTACAGGAGATGGGGCAGATAACAATCATCAAATGTAGTTGAACAGCAACTGCCAGAAGTTGAGTGGCCTCTCTTTAAAAGCTCTGTATTTCTGCTTAATATTAGGACAATGGCATTTCTCACAGGAGTCTCCATCCTCATCTCATGCCAGTAAAGTCGTAAAACTTCTCTTTCCTTCTCCTCAAACCTCATGTTCTCATTCTTCTGAAGTGGCCATGAGGACAAGTGCCAAGCTTTTGGTAATAGAATTGGATTTTAGTATAGTTGATTGAGTCTTTGCCTAATCAGTCAGATTTATTGATTTATTTCCAAGTGATAAAGTATTGTAGAGGCCAAGGGGACCCTTCCATCTCTGAAGGTTTGCTGAGAAATCAACTTGTAAAAGGCAGATTAATTGAAGAAAAGGCATACAAATTTATTTAACATGTATACACAGGACCCTTCATAATGAAGACTCAAAGATACAGGGGAAAGTGTCCATTTTTATGCTTAAAGAAAATATGGACAGCTACATAGAATATGATTGGACAAAAAGAGTATGACCTAGTGCTAACAGATTTGAGTGGGGAAACAGCAAGGCCTTTCTGTCTAGACTACTCTTTGCCTCTCTGAAGATGCATTCCCTTCTTTCTGATAGATACCAAAAGCTCAGCACCCTGTCCCTGAGGCCACATCAGAAGGAGAACAAGTTTGAGAAGGAGAGATTTATTAATTTGCCAGAAAATGAGGATAGACTCCTGACTAAAATGCTATTGTCCTAATAATAAGCAGAAACACAGAGATTTTAAAAGTAGGGCATTCAGCTTCAGGCAATTGCTGTTCAAATAAAGTTGGTGATTCTGGTCTTCCTCTATCCCTGAAGGACCTCCCCAACCCCACTGTTCAGCTGAGCCATCTTCTATAGCATAAAAGACATTCCCCTGTCCCTCCCAACCACTGCCCTGAGCAGGGATGCAGGTCCTAGTTCTCCAAAAGGAGAGTGGGATGTTTTAAAGAGAAAGAAAACATTTTTGCCCATTTTTTTCCAGGCCATGTCCTCTGTTACATGATTATAAAGCAGGTTCCTCTCTGGAATGGGGATCTTACCACCTACAGTCAAACAAGGTAAGTTAGATATTTTCTTTATGGCCAGTTTTTACAAAGAAAGGTGGATAGAAAGTCAGAGTAATATCTTTAGGTCTTATGGCTGACTTTGGGGAAAAGAGGTTCTGGTTTTTATGACCTGCCTTGTGGAAGAGGGATTCTAGTTTTTATGGCTAGCTTCAGGGAAGAATGGGAATGAGGGGCAGCAGAAGGTCAGAGAATAAATTTTGCTTCTGAGGCCTTCATTTCTTGGTGATGTTTTTCTGAGCCCCAACAGTATCATATTTAATATAATTAAGTTCTTCACTGTACTAGGAAAAATTATTGTCCTTTCTATCAGGTTTCAGTCTGAAATGTCAGTTTGTGCTGTGCTTATGGTTGAAGAATGACAAGATGCACCAATGTAAGGTAAGCAGAAGAATGAGGTTTATTGAGGAAGGAAAGGATTATAGAGAAAGAGCAATATATAGGTTTACAGGGTGAGATACGTACACCACAGATGACCTGACCCATTGTCACAGCAAAGGGAGAGCAAAAGGAAGGGTCCAGAAAAGGGCCTGGTTATGGTCTGCATCTTGTTTTATTGTCCCCAGATTGGGACATCTATTGTGGTTCAGAGGTCACCATGGAACCACTTTGATTGGACAGTTGGGAGTTGCATGACTTAAGTCTTAGACTATGCAAGTGGGTTGTTCTAGGTCAATTTCCAGACTCTATCATGTTACAGCAAGTGTTATGTTGGGTAGTTCCGAGGACAAAGCAAGCGGCAAACGAAGAGTCGGAGAATCCATTTATTCTCAGGCGGGCCCAGAGGGGTCTCGCCACCAAATTCTGAGCCCCATCTACCTGATTTTTCCCACTTTTATTAAGTTGGGGTGGTCCAAGGGGTGGGGTATCAGGTGTAGGTTAGTTGATGTGTCCGGTAATAGGTTAGTATTATGTTGTTGCACCAGGTAATGGATTAGTTGATACACCAGGTAATAGGTTTATTGTTATGCCGATGCCAGGTAATGGATTAGTTGATGGGTCAGATAATAGGTTAGTATTATGCCGACTGGGGTCTTCCATGAGTGGCGGAGGTCTTCTGTGGCTGATGCTAAGTAATAGATGGGGGTTTCCCTTATCAATGGTACCTAATGATGCTTGGCCCCTGGGTTAGAGAGTACTCTGCATTCTTTTGGAGGTGGCCTGCTAAGCTCTGATTGGCAGATTTGTAGGGTATTCCCTCCTCCCTCAGGTATGGCAGTCCCTGAGGAGAGGATTAGGGTGAGGGAGGACCAAGATGGGGACCTGGGGCCCACCCTTGTCCTTCTTCCCAAGTGGGGCAATTGCACCAAGGCAAAGCACCCACTTTTGTCCCTAGGAGGCCAAGAATCCCTCACTAATTACCTAACATTTCTATTTCCATGGAAAAGTATTTTAAGCATTGTAAATTATTTTAAATTTAAAGAAAAAAAATTAATTGAATTTATTAATTAACTGGGATCGAAAGATTAATATATTTAAAAGACTGGATTCTTTAGCTCTATATACTGAAGGAAATCAGAAATATCTTAACCCAAAATATGGCATTAAGATATGCTGGACTGACAAAAGAAGCTTCAGATTCTCCCTGTCACCTACCACGGCCATGGGCACCCCAAAAAATTAAAGTTTCTTTATCTCCCTAACATCCAATTCACCTAGAAGAACAATTGTTCTTTTCTTCTCTTCCCTGTAAAACCAAAATGTAACAACACCTGAACACACTCTTTAAAAAGATAATTTCTC